AGGGGAAGAGCTGGGGACCCTGTGAGGAGTCACGGGTCCGGTGTCCACCTTGCTGTTCCCAAGGCAGGCTCTCACTCTAACTTGGAGTCCTGCCCCAGCTGCTAAGAAGGAGCTGGGTGGTTGCATACCCATCCTAAACTTAGTGGGGACCTAGTAGGCGCTGGCCCCAAAGGATGGAATCCTGGGCTGTATACTGATTTCTTAAACCACATTTTCACTTAAGATAACAATAGAATTTATTCTGCAAAATTATTTTCTCTTCTATTTATTTACTTGTCAAAAAACTACAACAAATGCAAGGTTTTTTTGTTTTTTTGTTTTTTAATTTTGAGACGAAGTCTCACTCTGTTGCCCAGGCTAGAGTGCAGTGGTGCAATTTCTGCTTGCTGTCTCTGGGGTTCAAGCGAGTCTCCTGCCTCAGCCTGCCGAGTAACGGATTACAGTTGCCTGTCAAAGTTTTGTATTTTTAGCAGAGATGGGATTTCATCATGCTGGTCAGGCTGGTCTCAAACTCCTGACCTCAAGAGATCCGCCCGTCTCGGCCTCCCAAGGCAATGGGATTCCAGGCGTGAAGCCACCCCGCCCTGCTGCAAGTCTCTTTAAAGATGGCATTGAGAGTAAAATTTAAGCCTCTGTTCCAGCCCCCAGAAACAACTGCCATCGGTGTTTTTGTGGACTTTCTTCAGATGTGCTTTAGTAAGATACACAGACAGATGCTTCATAGAACCTGCACACTGGCATGCCACATGTATTCTTTGCTTCACAGAAGCCTTATAAGCTCCTCCCCGGGCAGGCCGTCTAAAGCAGATTGCTCCTTTTCCTGGCCGTGTGGTCATCTGTTGCACCAGCTGCGTGGCCAGCCTCCTCCCAGGGGCATTAGAATGGTTCCAATTTTTTATTTTTTGCTCTTATTATAAACAGGCTGCAAAGATACTCTTGTAGCTGAATCTGCGTTCCCATCTGTAACTACTTCTCAATTTTTTTTTTTTTTTTTGAGACAGAGTCTTGCTCTGTTACCCAGGCTGGAGTGCAGTAGTGTGATCACGGCTCACTGCAACCTCCCCCTCCCAGTCTGCCTCTGGGGTTCAAGCAATTCTCCTGCCTCAGCCTCCTGAGTAGCTGGGATTACAGGTGCACACCACCACAGCCAGCTAAGTTTTTTATTTTATTTTATTTTATTTCTATTTTTAGTAGAGACAGTATTTCACCATGTTGGCCAGCCTGGTTTCGAACTCCTGACCTCATGATCCACCTGCCTTGGCCTCCCAAAGTGCTGGGATTACAGGCATGAGCCCCATGCTTGGCCAACTTTTTTTTTTTTTTTTTTTTTTTTGCTGGAGATGGGGTCTGTCTACGTTGCCCAGGCCAGTCTTGAACTCCTGGGCTCAAGCAATCCTCCCACTTTGGCCTTGCAAAGTGCTATGATTCAGCCCATATCTATTTCTTGAAGATACATTCCTAGGAGTGGAGTGGAGAGCCAGGAGGGAGTCGCATTTCAAAAGCTTTTCTTACGCACTTGACTTAAGGCTGAGAGGGTTCAGAACAAGAAGAGGGAATTTCAGGCAGAAGAAACCCCAGGGGCAAAAGCTCCAGGGTGGGAAACGGCTTTGAGAGTTCTCTTAAGGCCATTTGAAAATAGCAGGAAGGGCCCTGCTGCTTGTCCAGCGACCCCAGGAGGCGGGGTGGGGTGGGGCCTCACTGTTCTGGGTCCCGCTCTCCATCCAGGGCCGCCCTCTCCTCCCTGAGCAGCCTCAACCAGGGAGTCGGGGGAAACGCAGGCCAGGCTGACGCTGAGGCTGGAGCTACTGGTGCTCCTGATACTGACAAGAAGCCTCCAGCCAGTGCCCCTGCTCTGTGCCCTCAGGCCACTCTGCAAACCCACCTGGGTCTTCCTTCTAAAGCTCTGCCCATGTCACATCAGCTCCCCTGGGGCTTGGTCCCATAAGACAATGGCTGGCTGCAATGCCTTTAGGAACTCCGGGGGGCCTTCAGTCTCCCCTGACGCACAGCCTGCGCCATGCTCTGCCTGCTTCCTGCGCTCCTTCCTGTCCCCTTTGCACACTTCTGGCCAACTTAGATTCTTCTAATGTCTCAGCTCCTTCCCACGGAACAGCCTTCCCCCACACCGAACTGGGTGGGAACCCCCATAGGGCAGGGATTGCAGAGAGGGCTTTGAAGTCAGGACCCCTGAAGGCCAGGTCATGGTGAGCAGCTGGGGCTGGGGCTCAGTTCTCTAGGTGACGGGATGAGGGATGTCTGATCTCCAGGGAAACTTCAGGACAGGTCCTGATCTTCTGGGTCATGCAGAACCCTGCTTCCTTCCACCTCCCGACTGCCCCAGCGCCCAGTCCCTGCCTCCTTGCCTTGGTCTGTCCACCCCTGCTTCCAGGCCAGCTAGAGACAGACTGGGGCCGACACACACGTGCAAGTGCACACACGCACAAATCTCCGGGCTCACCCTGGGAGATGCATTTCCATCCTTATCAGTGATTTCCATGGCGGGCTCACTGGGCACCTCCTAGTCTGTCCCTCAGGAGGCCCTGGCCCTGGGCCTGGTTGCCCTGGGGGATGTGGCCTGCTTGAAAGAGGGGCTTCTCCTGCATCTGGAGGCAATGCGGAGTGCAGGGACTGAGGTGTAGCCTGAAGCTGTCACCACGAACAGAACATTTTATCTGAAAATTAATTCAGATGTTGCATTCCACTCCCTAACGTGGCTGCTTAGTTTTGATATTAAAATATTGGTTTTGTTAATTACCATCGAGTAAGCTGATATTCCGGGTTATGTCACAAGCATCCTGAGGTCTCACGCATCCCCATCCAACCCTGGGCAGCAGGGGATCAGTGCCACAGCCTAAGGAACCCTCCCACTCCACCCAGCCACCCACCCCACCATATTCTCTGCACAAGGAGCCCCCTGGAGTCATGCAATCCAGAGGCCCTGGTGAGAAGGCCACCAGACTGGGGCTGGAAAACCTGGATTCTGTCATACTTTGTCATTAATAGCAATGCGACCTGGGGCTAGCAGCTCTCCTCCCTGGGCCTCTGTTTCCTTGCGTGGCACATGGAAGCTGTGGACAGTCTCCACATGGCTGGACAGTGCCTTCCAGGTCACATTGCAACTCCAGTGGCAGGAAATGCAGGCCAGGTGATCAGCCACAGGGAGCCGATGAGAAGTGGAGAATTGGTGGGGGAGCTTGAACTCCCCTCAAATCACAAACTGCAGGTGGGTGGTGCCCCACAGCACCTCCTGGGTCACCTCCCTGCCCAGTGTCACAGGCACAGCCTCTGCATCCAGAAGGAGACAGAACCTCCAGGGAACTCTGTTCCCACTGTTGCCCGTCTGCAAGTCTTCTCCAGGGCCGCCTTCTGGGAGCTCCCAGCTCTGCATATGAAGCCATCCTGCAGCGGCTTCTCAAGGATGAGGAAGGGGCAGCTGCACGGCCCTCTGGCTCAGTGCAACCCCCAAGCCCCAATCCACTGCCTCAGCAGGGCCAGGGAGCCCAAGCCAAGCCTTCCCAGCCAATGCAGAATCTTCCCATAGAAGCAGCTGTGACTACCTGCCCTCTTTCTCTGCTATATGCAAATGTGGTTCCCCCCCACCTGCCCTCTTTCTCGGCTATATGCAAATGGGGTTCCAGCCCCCCATGGCTCTGAGGCTACTGTGGCCTCCCTCTGGTGCCACCCTACACACCCACTCACTGGAGGAGCCCGACAAGCTTAATCTGGATCTCACCAAACCTCAGTCTATGAAGAAGGAACCTTGTCTGGCTTCCCCTTACAGCTCGGCAACTCCATCTTGCCCTACCCTGCTGCAGAAGTGGCTGAAATCCTGATATTGGTTTGGTTTTGTTTAGCAAACAGGGAGTATGCAAAGCAGCTCTCAATCCGTGTGTGTGCATGCACACTGGAGATGAGTCAGGAGCCCATTCCAGACCTGGGCCCAGAAGTGTGGCCCTGGGCAAGGCCCTTCCTTCTCTGGGCTTCACTGTCCTGGACCGGAGGAGAGATGGGAACAGGTGGTCTCTAAGACTTTGCTGGCTCTGGTGCTCTGGCCACCAGGGTCCCTCTTATCCTGATTTCAAGAGCTAGATTTCAAGACAGGACACCCACAGGGAGCCAGCTGAGGAGGCTAGACCACCCTCCCATGGAAATCCCAAACCCACCCGCACACCTGACAGGTTTGCTTAGAGGCATTCTGGCTAAAGGAAACGGGAAAAGCCTCTGGCAGGAAATGGATGTCAGGGTTCGGCCCAGCCAAATGCAGAGCCTAGGGGTGGGTGAGAATTCCAAGCCCCTGGCACACCAGAGGAGAGAACTGGAAGAAACACTTTTGGGTCTCAGTGGGAGAGGCTCCCACTCCAAGAAGAGAGCCTCCCCTCCGAATCAGTTTTCTGATCCCAACTCTGCCTTTGCCTGCTGCGTGACTTTGGGCAAGTAGGCCAACCTCTCCTGCTCTCTCTGGTTCCCAAATTAACCTTAGGGAAACACTGAATACCCAGATCCTCCCCTTGGGATGGACACATGTGTGTTACACATGATAGGCTCTAAGGAGCATTTGCAATAGAGGATTTCACTGAACATGAACCCAGAGTTCCTCCCAGTTATCTGAGCGATGTGATCTCTATTCCGTCTGAAGCAAACGAACCCTTGCAGGCTGGTGGTGTGTGCCTGGGGAGCACCAGAACGGGGTCGAAGCATGTCCAGCCAGCTCCGTGGGCCTCTCTGCAATCACGAACATGCGTCTGTGGACTTGTCATTCCCTTCCCTGACGATCAATGTGAACAGCTTCTAGTGTGACCCATGTCTGAGCTGTCCACCGTGGATGGGAATCGGGCCTTCACATGGGACATCTGCCATTGCATGACACGTTGAGCCTCACAAGTTGACATGTGCTCAAACACGCATTCAACGAGTCGGTTCATGAACCCAGGCTCAATCATACCATCCACAGAAGCCACCTGACAATAGCAGCATTTCTTTGGAAAGAATCCTTCTTTCTCTAGGAAAGGATAAGCCCTAGTATTTATTTATTTATTTTTATGGCTGACATTTCTGAGCCTCAGTTGCCCCCCTCTGGAAAATGAGAGAGTGGCATTCCATGGCAGAGGGTTTTGTGGATTAGAGGCAATGTGTGGAAACTCTTGGCTTAGCTCAGTACCTGCAAGTTCATTCAGAGATGTCCATGGCTGTGGGCTGTGGGCTGTGAGCAGGGGGGCAGCTGGAGCTCAGACAGAAGACCCTCTACCGAGGGGAAACTTATCCACACATAACTGCCATTCCATGTTCAATGGTTCCTAAGCTGTAAGCAAGGAGACTGAGTTGCTCGGTATCAAAGGAGATGGAAGACCTCTAGCTGGATGACCCAGGAAGGCTTCATGGAGGAGATGGCTAAGTAGGCCTTGCAGGATGGACAGGACTTCAGAAAGGGATGTTCACAACTCAGCAGCACTTACTATGTGCTGGGCTGGCCCTACATGCCAGTTTGTAAGAATGGACTGCTGTGTTTGCCATTCTACAGAGGAGGAAGCTGAGCCCCAGAGAGGTTCAGGAACTCACCTGAAGTCACACAGCTAGTCAGGTGCAGCACCAGGCTTAATTAACTTCAGCACACCTGCAAAGTCCCTTTTGCCATATAAGGTCATGTTCACAGGTTCCAGGGTTAGGATGTGGATATCATCTTTGGGGCCCTTATTCAGCTGACCACGGTGATTATGTTAAGGATCTTGAGACGGGACAAAGTATACCTGAGCTCAATGTAATCAGAAGGGTCCTTCTAAGAGAGAGTCCAGAAGGTCAAAGGCAGAAGACAGAGACGCGATGACAGAAGCAGAGGTCCGAGTGACGTGCTTTGAAGGCAGAGGAAGGGGCCAAGAACAGAGGAGTACAGACGGCCTGGAGAAGGAGAAAAAGACAGGAAAACAGACTCTCCTGGGAGCCTCCCAGGGGAAGGAACGCAGTCCTGCAAACACCTTGATGTTAGCCCATGAGACTCGTTTTGAGTTCCTGGCCTCTAGAATTATAAGAGAATAAATGTGTGTTGTTTTAAGCCACTAAGTTTGTGGTCATTTGTCACAGCAGCCACAGGAAACAGATACTGCCCCAGCTGCACTAGCCTTGCCCACCCCTGTGGTCTTGTCGCACGGCCCCTTATGCTTGCTACCGGCTCGTCAGTGGGTCTGTGCACATGGGGGCCGGGTACAGGTCTCCACAACGTGCCTGTGAGCACCTCCATAGCCTTCTCTGCTCCTCAAGCCTCCCCTAGTCGCTCCACGAAGCCTCGTGCAGTCACCCTGGACCTCGTAGGCACTTAATACATGCTGGTCACATGGCAACAAATCTGTGTCTTTAATTTTATTGACAGCAATTGAGAGGACAGGCTTTCGACAGCAGTAACTGCCAGTTTCTCCAGCCTCATGGCCTGGCTGTAGAACTGGAATCCCCAGTGGCCAGCTGAGTGCTGGTCAGAAGTAGGGGACAGTCAGCACATCTGGCCGAAGCAGAGGGGGTGCTGGGCCTCTGACTGGGGCGGGAGTCAGCTCCGACTCTCTGCCTGTTGCAGCCAGAAAGAGGTCCACTAAAACCCAGGGTGACCAGGTCCCAGCTCGGTGGGCAGCAGGCATCCCCATGGGTCCCAGCTCTGGTCTGCTCTCAGCATCCCTGTCTCCCTGCGAGTATTCTAGCTTTCTGTGCTGTGCTAGAGGAAGGCACCTGAGCACACCTGGAAACAACTTTTGCTCAGAAAGACCCAGGCAGGCTCCCACACTTGGCAGCAGGAGAAATGTTGATCCAGAGAGGGAAAGTGACTTTCCCAAGGTCACACGGCAATTTGGTGAGTCTCAAAACAAGCTGGAAGACTCCCGTCCAGTCCCATCTCCAGGAGACCGGAGATCTGGGCATGTGAGGTTGGCCTCCAGGTGACAGGACTGCAGGGCAGGCTGGCCAGGAGCCGGGAGCCGGCGCAGCCTCACTTGAGATTGTGCTGGCTCTCGCGGTGCCGCCGCAGGTCCACCTTACGCTGGAAGCCCTTGGCACACAGCTCACAGCTGAAGGGCTTGAAGCCCGTGTGCTTGCGGCTGTGGGTGATGAGGTTGGAGCTCTGGCTGAAGGCTTTCCCACACACCTGGCACTTGTGCGGCTTCTCACCTGCAGAGAGGGCAGCGAGGCACAGCAAGGGCGGGGTCAGGGCCTCCTCACCAGGCCTGCCACTCCCCGGCCCCACCCCCAGGTGCATTTTCCAATACCTCTCTCTGTTTTCTCTCATGGCCAACTCACATTCACTTTAGAAAATAATCAGAAAAGAGAGAGGAGCAAAGATACAACTCCGACCCCCCTCCCACCCCTACTGGATTACAGGGTGGTTAGGGGCAGTGGCCGAGTCATCTTGCTTATCAACACATCCCCAAGCCTGGTACACCTGGCACAAAAGAAGCACTCAGCTAATATTGAGGAGGGAATGAATAAGCAAATGAATGAATGAATGAGTGAACAAGTGAATGAGTGGGTGAACAAATGAATGAGCAAATGAGTGAACAAAGGAATGAGCAAATGAGTGAGCGAATGAGTAACAAATGAATGAGCAAATGAGTGAACACATGAATGAGTGAGAGAACAAATGAGTGGACAAAGAAATGAGCAAACCAGTGAACAAATGAACGAGCAAATGAGTGAACACGTGAACAAATGAATGAATGAATGAACACATGAATGAAGGAGTGAACACATGAATGAGCAAATGAGTGGAAAAAGAAATGAGCAAATGAGTGAACAAATGAATGAGCAAATGAGTGAACACATGAATGAATGAGTGAACAAATGAATGACTGAGTGAGTGAGTGAATAAATGAATTAGCAATTCACCTGCTAGTCTCACTTCTGCCATGAGATCACCAGTGTTGAGATTTTGCTGTTTCCGCCTGTATTTTTTCCAGGCATGAAGTGCACTTGAGTAGCACAGGCAGCCAGCTCTCCAACAGCAGTGGCCCTCGACTTTGTAACTAGACCCCACCCCCAACCTCACGCCAGGGGGCCTTCGGTGCATCTCTCAGTGAAAGGTGCGGGTGCTCCGCCCAGGGGACTCCGGCCAGCCAGGTGAGCCTCACTCACCAGTGTGGATGTAGGTGTGCTTCTTCATGTCCGACTTCTGGTGGAAGCGCTTGCCGCAGAACTGGCAGGGGTAGGGCCGCGTGTCTGAGTGGATGAGCAGGTGGGTGGACAGCGTGGACGAGCGCTTGAAGGCCTTGCCACACATGCGGCACTCGAAGCTGCGCTCCTGCCGGAGGAAACGAGGCCCCGGGGGGTCAGGCGCAGGCGCAGGACTGGACCCAGCCAGGATGCCCTGTGGAACAGGACAGTCCATTGGGGGCGCCCCGAGGACAGGGCCTGGAGGGGCAGGACCAGGGACCCCTCATCTATGCCTCTCAGGAGGAACTGGGGCTTGGAGCCTCTTTGGCCTCCTGTGGGCTTTTTCCTTGTAATTTTCACAGTATTCCGCTCAAAATAAACCCCGATAAATGTTTGTTGATTGCCTGATGGACTAACTGATCTGAGAGGTTTTTTAGGGGTTCACATTTCATGACCATTAATCCAGAGTGAGTTCCTTGAGGCAGGGATGGTTGTGGTCTGCACAGAGGTTTAGTTAAGAGTCTGAAGTCTGTTAAGGGCAGGTGTTGGAGGCCCAGACTCAGGGAGGTGGGTTCTAGGGGACCTCCCCCAATTCGTGTCACTCACAGGGGCAGGGAGAGGGACCCAGCCACAGCCCCCAGGCTCCGTGGGGAAGCTCAGAGAAGGGGGCTTGGGGGTCCTGCGCTGGGCCAGGTGCCCACCTGGGAGTGAACGTGCGTGTGCTGCTCCAGGCTCACGGCGTGGCCGAAGGTTTTGCCACAGATGTCACAGGCGAAGGGCCGGGTCCCACTATGGGAGCGTCGCACATGCACTTCGAGCCCGTGAGGGGTGGAGAACACCTGGGAACAGGGGCAGCGTGTGAGGCCACTGGGTACTGCAGAGAGTGGGACAGGCCTGGGGTCCCGTGGTCTCTTCCCTGCCCAGCTCCGGCCAAGGCTGCGTGCACAGGGGAAGGGGCACTGGACTGCCCGCTCTGCTGCTTGTTTGCTGTGTGTCCTGGGGAGGTCCTTTTCTCTCTCTGTGGCTCAGTCTCCCATCTGCAAAGTTGGATGTGAGAGAGGGAATCTGGAACACCTCCTGGCTTCATCTAAAGGCTGAATAGCCTCGTGGTTAAGAGCTGGGCGTGCCAGAGCCAGGTTTGAGTGCTGGTTCTGATATCTACTTGCTGCCTGATCGTGGAAATGACCTAACCTCTCTGAACCTTAGTCCTTCACTGCCTCCTGGCACTCATGCCTGCCAATTGCTTCGCACAGGGCCAGGAACATGGTCGGAGCTCCGTGACTGGTGATGAGGACGAACGTGTTGAATCCTTAATCCCACCAGAGTCCCAACATTCACAGCACAGGGAATGCCCAGAGCTGCCAGGGCACTGGAGAGCGGGTGCAGAGAGCGGGCCGTGCGCCCACCCACACCCCCGTGGCCCACCTTGTTGCACTTCACGCAGTGGTACACCTCCATGCCCGGGGAGTAGCGGAGGCTGAAGTCCAAGGGGGGCTCGGTGCTGGGCACCAGAGGGCTGCCGTACAGGCTGACGGAGTGCTCCAGGAAGGCTGACTGCATGGTGGAGGGGGCCTGCCGGTAGCTGTGGCTGTAGGTTGAGGCCAGGGTGTCCCAGGAGAAGCTGGGCTTGTAGAACGGGGGTGAGTCAGACAGTGGAGAGTCCCCATCCTGGGGTCGGGACAGCACAATAGGGTCCTCTGTGGAGATAGGGGCACATGCCTGGTTACTCATTTAAACACGGGGCCGGGTGCAGTGGCTCACACCTGCAATTCTAGCACTTTGGGAGGCTGAGGCAGGTGGATCACTTGAGGTCAGGAGTTTGAGACCAGCCTGGCTAACATGGTAAAACCCTGTCTGTACCAAAAAATTAGCCACGTGTGGTGGTGCACGCCTGTAATCTCAGCTACTAGGGAGGCTGAGGTGGGAGAATTGCTTAAACCCGGGAGGTGGAGGTTGCAGCGAACTGAGATCGCACCACTGCACTCCAGCCTGGGCAACAGAGGAGACCTTGTCTCAAAAAATAAAATGAAATAAAATAAACACAGGGCGCCCACTCCACACCACCCCCCACCCCTTCATGACCTCACGTGACGGGTTTTAGGGTGCCAACCCAAATACTGTTCGGGGTGTCTGTGTCCTCACCGTGGCTCCTCAGCTTTTCCAGCCCAGAAACACCCCCACCCTCAATCCAGAGTGCCCACCTCACCCCTGCATGGACCGGCCCAGCCGCTGCTTCTGACCTCTTCCCCCACCTAAGTTCACATCTGGGGATTTGCTCCCTGTCAGGGAGGTCCAAGCAGAAGCCACAGAGCCTGGGCTGCATCCAGTGACTTCATGGGTTCTTCCTGACTCCAGGGCCCCAAGGGACCTGCTGCAAGGGTTCCTTCCTCCCCGTGGCACTCCCAGGGGAATGACTGGGGGTCGCAGCTGGGTACCTGGTGCCGGGACCATCCTGGCCAAGTTTTGGTCCTGCTCCAGCTCCGGCTCTCGTTTGAGGCTGGTCCAGTCCAGGCACTGGCTTGGGGATAGGGTGCTAAGGACAGGGCTGTTGCTGGGGGCCTGGTCTCTGGCCGCTGTGGGGAGATAGGACCATTGGCATCAGTAGTTGAAGCTTCTGGGAAGCCCAGAGGGGCAAGGAGGGCACTCTCTTCCTAGAAGGAGGAGGCCCAGAGAGAGACCTACTTGCCGCCGCCCCCGGCCACTCACACTCCGGGGCTCTGCCCAGGGCAGCGGGGCAGGAAGAACAAGAGGAGACCCTGGGGAAGACTTTAGACCCCTCCGCTTTTCTGAGCAACCCTACTCCAGCCCTAGATTGGGTCTCCAGTGAGGCCCCACGTGTCAGTAACTGAGAACTAGCTCCAAACTAAGCCTTTCTTCTCCCAGCAGGGCAGAAGGGATGAGGGCATCCTTTCATCTGCAACCCACATTTACCGCACTCCTGCTTCCAGACCTGGAAGAAGAGGCTGCTGCAGGAGGGACGCCACTGCACTCCCATCACGCAGAGCAGAGATCCCCTGTGGGTGCAACAGGGGCCAGCTGGGCTCTGACTCACCCGGGGTAAGGGCAGGTGGCCAGAGTGGTTCATCCTCCTGTGCACGGGGCTGGTGGTAGGTGTGAGCCTTCTTGCTCTTCACCAGGAAGGAGCGTGGCATTTTCAGTGTGCACCTTACACCTGCAAGGGGGAGGGATGGGATCAGTGAGGAAGGACAAGAGAACAATACCCCTCCGTATCTCAGAACCTCAACTGGGTATAGAGATCAAACACCAGCTATACCTGGTTGAATAGTGGCCCCCAAAATTCATGTCCACCCAGAACCTGTGAATGTGACCTTATTAGAAATAGTGTCTTTTTGCAGATGTAATCAAGCTATGATGAGGTCATTCCGGGTTAGGATGGGCCCTGAATTCAGTATGACTAGTGTCATAATAAGAGGGACTTCCGGAGGCCAAGGCGGGTGGATCAGCTGAGGTCGGGAGTTCAAGACCAGCCTGGGCAACATGGTGAAACCCTGCCTCTACTAAAAATACAAAAACTAGCCTGGTATGGTGACGCACGTCTACAATCCAAGCTATTTGGGAGGCTGAGGCAGGAGAATCACTTGAACCCGGGAGGTGGCGGTTGTAGTGAGCCAAGATCGCTCCACTGTACTCCAGCCTGGGTAACAAGAGTGAAACTCTGTATCAAAAAAGAAGAAGAAGGAGAAGGAGGAGGAAGAGGAGGAGGAGGAGGAGAAAGAAGGAGGAGGAGGAGGAAATTTGGACCCAGAGACACAGACACCCAGGGACAATGCCATGTGACAACAGACGCAGAGCGTGATGCTTCTATCAGCCGGAGAGTGCCAGCAGGGCTCAGAGCCACCAGAACTGGGAGAGGCACATGAACAGACTCTCCCTTGGAGTCTGCAGAAACAACCCACTTTGCTGACACCTCGATTTTGGACTTCTAGACCTCAGAACCGTGAAAGAATACGTGTGTGCTGTTTTTAAGCCACCTGTTTGCGTCGTTTTGTTAGGCAGCTACAAATCCTAACTTCCCTCACTGCTCCGTCACCAGGAAGCGAATGCATCACCCCCTGGAAAACTCTCAGACCAGCCTGCTCCCATTGACATGCTCAGGGTTGCGCTGGAGCAGAAAAGGAAAGGCAGGGGCAGGGTCTCCCTCTGTGACACATGGTAGACCCCACGTCTAGAAAGCCACATATGGGTCCCAGTGAGATTCACCTTCAGAGGCCATAGGTGGCCTGAGCTTAGGTTTTGGAATCAGAGTTCATGAGTTAGAATCTCAGCTCACTTGCTGTGCAATTTGGGACAGACACTTAACCCCTCTGGGCCTATTCCCTTTGCTGTAAGGGGGGACGTCCAGGCTTGTAGTGCTGATGAGTGCATTGCAGTTGCTCAGTGTCCATCACAGGGGGCCCTGGCAGAGAGGCTGCAGTGAGCAAGGCGACATTGCCAATCCGTGTGCTCCTGCAAGCTGCGAGCCACTGACGCCAGAGCAGGGCTGCGCCTTGTCCACAGCCCTGGCCCAGAGTCTGGTCCCTAGAGAGACAGGGGCCTTCTGTCTCTGGGGAGTGGGGTAGGGGGACTCAAGACCTGAAAGGACCCCCCACTTCACTGCACCTGGAGGCCTGAGGTTTCATGGACGAAGGAGAAGAGGCAAACATCCCCCAGCTTCCGTGGGCAGCCCAGCCCAGCATCACCACTCACCACACCGATCAGGGAGTGGGGGAAGAAACCAAGGACCTCATCAGTCAAGGGACCATCCCAGGCAGGGCCGGGAAGTGGCAGGGCTGGACCATCCTGACCACCCCGGGATTCCTGGCTTCCCCTGCAGAGCCCATGGAGCTGACAGCCTGCCTGGCCCCCAGAATGGTTCACATCCCTGCACTCAGCCTGTGAGGCTCTCCTGGGGGCTCCTGAGAACATCTTCTGGTGGTCCTCTATCCTTTCTGTCCCCATGCGGTACCCTGGCCAATGCCAGGCCCATGCCTGAGGCCTTGGAGGAATCCCACCCCCAACCCCTTGGGCCAGCCGCCATGCAAGGCTGCAGGGCTGATAGGGCCCAGAGAAGGCGGGAAAGGGATTCCAGCTGCTTCAGAACAGCAGTGAGGGCCTGGGTGATAAGGCTTCAGCCAGGGAGTAGGGTGGGAGGTGGGAGATTAGAGAATTCAGCTTGGAAAAGGGCCAGGGACTCACCCCTTCCCCAAGGGGATGACCCAGAGCCAGGCAGAAGAGGGACCTGACTGTGCCCAGGCCTGCTTCCCCCTGCCCCAGAGCCTGGGGGCATCAAGAGTTTGAACTATGGGGACTTCACATGGGGGCCCAGGCTCAGGCCCAGCCCTTCCCGGCTGTAAGGCTCACTGCTGAGCCTCAGTGTTCATATCTGCTAAATGGGGATCCCACTCAAACCCATGGGATCTCAGGGAGCGAGAAAGGACCTTCATCCATCAGTAGCGAGTATGGGAGGTGCTCAGCACGTGGCCCCTGCATCCCAGCACCCAGCCTGCTGCAGGTGCATTCAAAGGACAGGGTGAGCCCCACTCCAGGGGTTGCAGCAGCCCCCCGGAAGCCAGGGCCACACTCAAGGCCTTGTACTCTCTAAGCTCTAAAATTAGGAAAAAGGGCCTTGAAGGCCTCTGGGGTCCCTTCCCGCGGTCAGATTCTCAGCCTTCTGAACACAGGCTCGGGCTGGGGGCAGCCCACGGCCTTATCTCCCAGGGACACATCTTCCTCCTCCTGCCTCCTCCCCCTCCCTCACCAGGGCTCCCCACACCCACCTTCCTGCCCGCTTCTAACTCTTCTTTGCTTCAGGAAAGCCCCTGGGGAGGCCAGACCCTGGGTGGAGAGGAGGGGACCGCGTGAGCAGGGGAAGGGCTGGGGGCTTGCACTTTGTTTTGAGGGGGCTGTGAGGGCCACAGTTTGCCCGTCAACATATCAAAAGATGGTCTTTTTTTACACATAATATTTATGAGGAAATCAGCTAGAACCAAAGGTACTCGCTGAGGTCTCTGTGATAAGAGGCGCTGGCCAATGCCTTTGGCAGGGGGCTGCTTAGCCTGCCCTGCTTATTACAGCTTTAACCCTGACCATGGTTGTGACGCTGACTCCCGCTGCTGTCCCACTTTATAAAGGAGGAGTTGAGGCCTGGAGGACTCAGGACCCCAGGGCAGAATGAGCAGGACTGGGGTCTGTCTGGCTGGCCCCCAGGCCTCCATGCTCTTGACTTTCAGCCCAGGAGGTGGGCAGTTACTCCGTGCAGCATGGGTATTAAGCACTGGGCAGTGCCCGGCACGGCTGTCTCTCCGCAGAGGGAATGGAGCGGATGTGCTAAGGATGAAAACAGCCGTTTGAAGCTCCCCAGTGTGCCTATGTCAAGCAGTGTCTTCCCGGGTTGCCGGTGGGAAAACTGAGGTGTAGACAGGAAAGTGACTCAAGCCCAGGGCTCCTGGCCTGTTAGGATTTCACTCTGAAGCCACTGTGCCACCCGGTACCGTCAGAGGTCCTCAGAGCACCTGGAGAACACGGCCTGCAGCACGGGGAGAAATGCAGGGTGCTGGGGCAAGAGGGGAGAAAAATCAAACCCTCTGACCTCCAAGTCTTTTCCAGGTTCCTAAAAGACCCACATGCTCCAGCAGAGTCTCGGTGGGGCCAGGCTGGGGACAGACTGCCCTTCAGGAAGCATTGGTCTTCCCTTCGGCTTGGGGTCCCTGGAGACCCCAGGTCAACTGACTCCAGCCCCAGACCCCATAACAAGGACACTTTCTAGTGCTCATGAGTCCTGAAAAAGCAATTTCCACCCAGGCACGGTGTAAGCGGGGGCTGGCTTCTGGGGTTCTCCAGCCGCAGGAAAGTGATTCTCCTGCCTTTTCTAGTGACCTCCCCTGAGCCTCACAACCCCTTTCTTGCCTCAGCCCCAGCATGCTCTCCCTGAATCTGGCAAGTGACAGTGACACAGCCAACGCCATGGCCAAGCCCTCCGGCTCACAGCGAACTTCCTTCTGGCCCCTGTTAGGAGAGTGTGTTTTTTTAAAGAAAAAACAGGAACCAATCACCTATACTGTAGTTAATGAACAACCACTTGGTTTTGATTCACACAAACTCCGTTCTGAGAAAGAGCTAAGAGCAGAGATTATGAAAGAAACTCAGGGTTTCTTCATAAAACAGAGGCCTCGATGGTATCGGACCTCCGGAAAGAGGTCCACAGTTCATATCGCTTCATCACCCCCCGGTCCTGATAGAGTGCCCCTTCCCTGAGTCAGAATCTCAGCTAGTGCTTCTTAAAGAGAGGCGACCCCGCACCCTGGGGAGCCCACACCCCAAATTCCAGCTGGACTCGGGTCAACAGGACTGTGATGTCCCTGTAATGAGGCTCCTCTTGTCCCCCAAAGAGTTGAGTCTGATTTGGGGTCCTAGAACTTGTGACCACATCAGCCACCAACCTGGGGCTTGGTTTTCCTATCTCTCAACAGGGACGGTTGAGCTAAGAGATTTCTAAACTTCCCTTTTGCTCTAAAATCCCACGTAGAATTCGTTGACCTTCAGTGAGAGATTGAACCACCTTGACTAAGAGACTTGTCACTCGGGTTCCCCTTTTGGGAGGGTTGGGTAAGACTCAGCTGGTTCTCAGGGTCAGCTACAGAGGACCCTTTTGACTTCCTTTATGTTTAAAGACTCAAGGGAGGCCGGGCACGGTGGCTCATTTCTGTAATCCCAGCACTCTGGGAGGCCGAGGAAGGCGGATCACCTGCGGTCAGGAGTTTGAGACCAGCCTGTCCAACATGGTGAAACCCCGTCTCTACTAAAAATACAAAACGTAGGCACCTGTAATCCCAGCTACTCGAGAGGCTGAGGCAGGAGAATCACTTGAACCTGGGAGGCGGAGGTTGCAGTAAGCTGAGACGGAGCCAATGCACGCTAGCCTGGGCGACAAAGCAAGACTCTGTCCCCCCCAAAAAATAAAATAAGACTCAAGAGGAAAACAACACGTAGGAGTGAGGGGGAAATGAGCCCAGGTCAGGCCCGGGGGCCTCAGCAGAAAGCAATCCTCATCACCATCATCATCATCATCATTTTGTCACCCAGGCTGGAATGCAGTGGTGTGATCTTGGCTCACTGTAACCTCCACCTCCCAGGCTCAAACGATCCTCCCATCTCAGCCTCTTGAGTAGCTGGGACTGCAGGCATGCGCCACCACACCTGGCTAATTTTTGTATTTTTTGTAGAGACGGGGTTTCGCCATGTCGTCCAAGCTGGTCTAAGTCATTATTTTTATTTGGAATTTAGAAGGAGCTCTCAAATGTCTCCTCCAAAGCTCAGAGAATGCAGTCAAAAGTAAGTGAATCTACTTCTGGGTATAGACCCAAAATCATTGGAAGTGGAGACTCAAAGACATATTTGCATACTCACGTTTATGGCAGCACTATTCACAATAGGCAAAATGTGGAAGCAACCCAGGTGTTCACGGCAGATGAATGCCCAAACCACATGTGGTCTATGGCTGGGTGCGGTGCCTCATGCCTGTAATCCCAGCACTTTGGGAGGCTGAGGCGGGCAGATCACCTGAGGTCAGGAGCTCGAGACCAGCCTGGCCAACATGGCAAAACCCTGTCTCTACTAAAAATACAAAAACCAGGCAGGTGTGGTGGTGGCCCAAGCCTGTAGTCCCAGCTACTCGGGACGCTGAGGTAGGAGAATCGCTTGAACCTGGCAGGCAGGGGTTGCAGTGAGCTCAGATCGTGCCATTGCTCTCCAGCCTGGGTGACAGAGTAAGACTCCAACTCAAAAAAAAAAAAAAAAAAAAAGAATGCGGACTAGCCAGACAAACATTATTTGGCCTTAAAAAGAAAGGAAATGCTGGCACATACTACAACATGGATGGAGCTCGAGGATTTGTGCTAAGTGAAATAAGCCAGCCACAAAAGGACAAACACTGTGTGATTCCTTATATGAGTCCCTAAAATAGGCAATTTCATAGAGGCAGAAACAGACAGAGGTTGCCGGGGCAAGGGGAAGGGAATGGAAGCTACTGTGTAATTGGTATGAAGTTTCAGCTTTACAAGATGAAACAGTTCTGTGATGGATGGCGGTGGTGGGTGCATAACAATGTGAATACACTTAATACCACTCAACAGCACACTTGAAAATAGCTAGAATAGACCGAGCACAGTGGCTCACGCCTGTAATCCCAGCACTTTGGGAGGCCGAAGCGGGCGGATCACCTGGGGTTGGGAGTTCGAGATCAGCCTGACCAACATGGAGAAACCCCGTCTCTACTAAAAATACAAAATTAGCTGGGCGTGGTGGCGCATGCCTGTCATCCCAGCTACTTGGGAGGCTGAGGCAGGAGAATTGCTTGAACCCAGGAGGTGGAAGTTGTAGTGAGCTGAGATTGCGCCATTGCACTCTGGCTTGGGTGATAGAGGAAAACTGCATCTCAAAAAAAAAGAAAAAGAAGAGAAAAGAAAATAGCGAAACTGACAAATTTTATGTTATGTGTATTTTATCACAGTATAGACTAAAGCAGCTCCTGTTGGCTTGAATTCCTGGAAAGGAGCAAAAAAAGCCGCCCTCTGGACTAAGGAGGGGGAGCATTTGCTTTTGCTTCTACCAAGGCTCTGGATATTGTGGAACAGGCAGTGAAGAACCCCATTTGATTGGGCTGTTTTCCCTGGGTGATCTGGAGCTATCTGGTCCTGGAGCCTTTGAAAATCCTTGTACTGTCCTATATATAAGATTCTGACCTTGCCCTCCTAAAAGCCCTGGGGAGATGGTCTGCGCTGGTTTTGAGTGACTCCATTAATCAAACCTAAACCAGGTATAGCATTCCAGTGTCCCCCAAGAACTTTTAGGAAGACCACAATCTGACAGAAAGAGCAAGGAGAATTACGCATTTTCTTGTCCAAAGAATTCCTTCTGCAATACTTCAGAGGATAAGAAACTTGCCACTTTGCTGGACTTGGAAGAAATAGTCTACCTGTTGCCTACTAAGAAACACGCAGGCACGTCCCGGCGGTCAGGTGCAGCTCAGCTAGCTTCTAATATCTACGAGACGCACAGCCACAGATTGTAACTGAATTTGCTCCCTAAGTACTCAGGAAAGCTGTGGACTTTCTCCCCAGAAAAATGGACGCAGGTGCATATCCACGGCAATTCTGCAGACCTCCTCTTCACAAGTCCTGTTTTAGAGGGAATGTCTCTCCCCAGAAGCCTCGACACTCACACTTGTTTCTCCTCCAAAAAATAGGCAGAAAGGGCTAACAACAGTCGCAGGGAGAGGAGAGCTGAAACAGTACCTCACCAGGATGGGTCCTATTGTTCCCAGGGCCGGGCAGTGTACAGAAGGGGGCAGCCCTGTTGTCTCCCCTTACTAGGTTCTGAAAGAGAGAGTGCCTGCCTCTCAAAGTGTCCTGGGAATTGGCTCAAAGTGCCCCGGGAATTGGAGGTGGCTCATGCCTGTAATCCCAACACTTTGGGAGGCTGAGGCGGGTGGATCATTTCAGGTCAAGAGTTCGAGACCAGCCTGGCCAGCATGGTGAAACCCCACCTCTACTAAAAATACACAAATTAGCCAGGTGTGGTGGCACATGCTGGTAATTCCAGCTACTCAGAGGGCTGAGGCAGGAGAATCACTTGAACTCAGGAGGCGGAGGTTCAGTGAGCCAAGGTCGAGCCACTGTGCTCTAGCCTGGGCGACAGAGCGAGACTCTGTCTCAAAAAAAAGGGGGGTCCCTAGGAAATTTAGTGAAGTTCCCACAGTCTGGGACTGTCTCTGAGGGGGAACACAGCTCAGGCACTTGGAAGTGTGTCGCCCTGAGCACCGCCCAAGGTCCCGGGACAGCTGGGTGTAGGTATGACTTTGTGCCCGAAGGTGACATCTGTCAGTCTAAAATCGAGTTTTGAAAAGTGTTTCTGCACAGCCAGCAAAGGCACAATTCCTAGCAGAGCGCCTCAGATGAGGCTACGGTCCTCACCCCATTTCTCCCTTGGTTCCTGGCCGTCCAGAGCTTTCCCAGCCCACCTCACCCTTCCACCCTTCCTTCAGCAGGAGCCAGGGAGCCTGCTGCGAAACCACCTGCGGTGCACGGGTACATTTCAAAAGAAAGTGCACAAACGCATCCTCCAGCACTCACCTGCCTGGAGCTGTCCCTCGCCTGGGTTCTGCCGGAGCCTCCCGAGTTGGGAACTGCAAAGCCTCTCCCCGGGACTGGTCCCCACTCTGTCAACCGTGTGACTCTTTGCACAAATAGATACTTCTCCTTTTTTCTCTGTCTCTCTGTGTGTTTTTCCTCTTCTGTTCCCCTCCCTGATTTTCAATCTGATTATTTGTGTCAAAATCTGGCGGTGAAGAAACAGCCAATGAAGAGAGCGCGGGAGCAAAGCCGTATTTGCTTATCAAAACTTTCCAGGACGCAAGGCTCCAAATTCTCATTTCTAACCCTTGACACTTGAAACGGGACGCATTCTCTCTGCAGACAAATTCAGAATTTCGCTGGAAATTTTGAATTACTTCTGCACGAAAAGGAAGTAATGGTTAAATTTTAAAAATTAAAGTTAAAATAAAGCATTTACCTGTAAAACTGGACTTTGCATAGAGAAGTCATAGCTCTTTGGTTTTTTCTTCTTTCTTTTTTCTTGCCTTTCTTCTTCCTTCGCTCCTTTCTCCCTCTTTTTTCCATTCTTTCTTCCTCCCTCCCTCCCTTCTTTCTTCCGTTCCTTATTTTCCTTCTTCCTGCCTCCTCCTTCCCTCCCTCCCTCTCCTCCTCTCCTCTCTCTTTCCTCCTTTCTTCCCTCCTCTTTTCCCCGTTTATACCTCCCTCCTTCCCTCTCCCTCCTCTCATCTCCTCCCCCTCAAGTTCAGCATCATGAGGCTTGTGAGAGCCAGGGTATGCTTGCAAAGCCCCTAGTTCCTGAGCTGGTCACACTCATAGAGGCCCCTCTTGTCCTTGCAGAGGTCACATTTCAGAAGAAACATCAAATTTGCATTTCCCCAGATATGACCCTTGAGCGGATAGAGGCACCCTGGAGGTATGGCAGTGAGTTCCAATTCGGGTGCCAGGAGACCCTCGCCTGCTGAAGCTGCCAAGGCCCGTGTGTGCCGCCCTCTGGTGGCAGCCAAAGTGATGGGGAGGCCACTGGGGGCTTCTGGGGTGTCCCATTGATGGCGGGGGCGCGGTAGCTGGATGGAGGGTAGCTTGGCTGGGCAGGCTGGGGCATTTCTTCCCATTTGGCAGGGAGTCCCATCCCCTGGTCCCCCCACCTTCTCCCTCCTCCTCTGGCCCCCGCCTCCTCCCGCTTGCAGAATGACTGATTTATTTCAGGAGGTTTTGCATAAGATGAGAACGCACAACGCAGTACTGTTAGGCTGCTTTGCCTGCTCGTCCAGCCCGGGTGCTGGAAAGATTGTTTCCCTCATTAAAAAAACAAGTCTGGTGACAGGAAGCCCAGATTTAAACTGCAAGTTCAGGGTTCAAGGTGAAGAGAAACGGCTGTTTCAGGCAAGATCTTTCTGCTGGCCAGCCCTGGAGCACCAGTCAGGAGGCCACAACCCTGTGGTCACCAGGCCTCAGTAATGCTGGGGTGTCAGACCCAGCCCCAGGCCACAGACAGCAGACCACTGCTCTCAGCTGCTTGGCCTCTCTTAGTGGAGAGAAACATCTTTTTTAAAAATTATTATTGGCCAGGTGTGGTGGCTCACGCCTGTAATCCCAGCACTTTGGGAGGCCAAGGCAGGCAAGTATCACCTGAGGTCAGGAGTTTGAGACCAGCCTGACCAACATGGAGAAACACCATCTCTACTAAAAATACAAAATTAGCCAGATACGGTGGCACATGCCTGTAATCCAGCTACTCAGGAGGCTGAGGCAGGAGAATCACTTGAACCTTGGAGGCAGAGGTTGCAGTGAACCCAGATCATGCCATTGCACTCCAGCCTGGGCAACAAGAGCGAAACTGTCTCAAAAAATATTATTATTATTTCTTAGAGACAGGGGTTGGCTTTGTAGACCAGAATGGAGTGTGGTGTTGCAATCATAGCTCACTGCAGCCTCGACCTCCCTGGCTCAAGAGATCCTCTCGCTTCAGCCTCTTGAGTAGCTGGGACTCCAGGCGAACCACCACACCTCGTTACTTTTTAAATTTTTTGTAGCAATGGGGCCTTACTATGCTGACAGGCTGGTCTAAATCATTATTGTTTATTTGGAAATTAGAAGTTCTCAAATGTCTTCTCCAAAGTTCAGAGAATGCAACGTCAAAAGTGAGTGAATCTACTTCTGGGTATAGACCCAAAATCATTGGAAGCAGACTCGAAGGGATATTTGCACACTCATATAGCAGCACTATTCACAATAGGCTGGTCTTGAACTCCTGGCCTCAAGAGATCCTCCTGCCTCAGCTTCCCAAAGTGCTGGGATTACAGGCATGAGCCTCTACACCCAGCCAGGGGACACATCTTAAGTATTCTGCAGGTGTTGCACATTGCCAACAATCAGCTAGAACTGTTTATCATTATGCAGAAAACTTAAAAAATTGGTTGGGCGCGGTGGCTCACACCTGTAATCCCAGCACTTTGGGAGGCCGAGGCGGGTGGATCACGAGGTCAGGAGTTCAAGACCAGCCTGGCCAACATGGTGAAACTCCATCTCTACTAAAAAAAATACAAAAATTATCCAGGAGTGGTGGCACATGCCGGTAATCCCAGCTACTTGGGAGGCTGAGGCAGGAGAATCGCCTGAATCTGGGAGGCAGATGTTGCGGTGAGCTGAGATCATGCCACTGCACTCCAGCCTGGGCAACAAAGCGAGACTCCATCTAAAAAAAAAAGAAAAGGAAATTTTAAAAATTAAATTCTCTCCAAGTCAACAAGTTCCTAGTTTCCCCATGTTCTCACTTCATTCTACACACACATCCACATTTTGCTACTGTAAACCAGCGTGTCATTTTCCACGAAATGTGATTGCATTTAAGTACTTCCTAAATTCTTTTGCAGCCTCTATTGACATCTTTAATGGTTTCATGTGTTTCATGGGTTATCTCACCAAACGCTTCCTCCATTTGTTTGGGGAGTTTTCTAATAGGAAGCTGCTATATCAGGAGTTTGCAGTTCAACTGTTGTTCTAAGGTGGTAATCCCTCTTTAAAGCCCCGACCTTCCCCACTGAGTAACTGACTCAGGGACAGCCTTCTCAGACCAGACCAGGGATACAGCCTGCCGATGAAGCCACCCGGGCTCCCCTGGATGGGAGAGCAGCAGCCAGGCTGCCAGTCCCCTGGCATAGCAATTGAAGCCAGAGGTCCCCAGCCAGCCTCACCCAGGCCCCTATAGCACTGGACCTCCCAGGCTCTGTGTCCCCTCCAAGGGCTGCCTAAAAAGCTACCAGCACTTCCCTTAGTGGGCAGCTCTGGAGTCAACACCTTCATTTAGTCTCTCCCGAGAGCTAAATCACTTCCTCATCCCTGTGCCCATTTATCGGTGTATTCATTCATCTAACAGTTACCATTGGGTACCTTTCAGGTATCAGGACTTTCCCTCCCTCCCTTATCGAAGATGTGTGTATCGAGTGCCTACAAAAAGGCACCACATGCTGGGGTTTCAAACAAGAGCCAGACTTTACACGTTCCCTCCCGGTCTAGAGGGCAGGAAAGAGCAAGCAGAAATTTACAATTTGGGGTGACAAGGGTTGTGATATAAACATGGTATACAAAAGAATCCTGGGAGAGGCTGGGCGCGGTGGCTCACGCCTGTAATCCCAGCACTTTGGGAGGCTGAGATGGGTGGATCATGAGGTCAAGAGTTCAAGACCAGCCTGGCCAACATGGTGAAAACCCATCTCTAAAA